CCCCATGAAGGGCGTGAGCGAGCTGTTGCGGCCATAAAAGTTCATTGAGGAAAATACTTCCCTTTATACACTTGAGCAAGGAGGGAATGAGGTTCATTGAGAATACGCCAGCCAATTTTTGCTAAAAGAGCTTGGTTAAAATGTTCAAACCGGCGAAATCTCATCCCCCCCATCATGTTTACTCCTGCACAGATTGCGCCAGGACACTCACCGAACCTTGGGATGGCCCTCCTCAACACCCCACTAGAACCGGGCCACATGTCTATCCAAAAGAAGACAAAGAGAGAGGGGCAACCGGAAGCACGACATAACAAGCAGGGGCAAGGCCACAGCTATTGACTTAATTAACGTCTCCTTTGCCTCCCAAGACAATGTCCTTTGCTTCCACCCTTGCAGTCGCTCCAGTAATTTCTCCTCTAAATATCGGAACACAACCATTTCGGAGAGGGCAATCAAAGTGGGTAACCCCAAATACTTGTCATGGATCCCTACTGCACCAAGCCCTAGAATCGTGGCCAAGAACTCTTGATCTGGTAGGGCAACATTTTTACTGAAACAGACTGCAGATTTCTCCAGATTAACCCGTTGACCACTCAGCTCCTCATATTCGTTTAGCATCTCAATCAAATTCTCGCACTCCTGAAGAGAACCTCGCAGGAATATATAAGAATCATCTGCGAAGAACAAATGAGAGATTATAGGAGCACGGGGAGCCACTTTCACCCCCTGCAACTTATTTTCCGAGATCGCCTTCCGTAGAAGGGCCGCAAACCCCTCCGTACATAACACGAACAAGAGAGGCAACAATGGATCTCCCTGTCGGAGCCCCCTAGAGGAGGTGAAATAACCCGAGGGCGTACCATTCGCATGAGTGGTTTTTTTGTCGAATTGATAATATTCTTTGGAATAATTACCAGACCAAAAATCAGGACCGAAAATGAAGTTGAGCGAAGACACTCATGTATCCATCCTTGCCAGACAGAGTTAAAACCCATTTTATTCAAAACTGCCAAAAGGAAGGGCCATTCGACTCTATCATAGGCCTTTTCCATGTCAACCTTTAGAGCCATGTACCCCTTCTTCCCCTGCCTCTTTATCTTTAGATAGTGCATTAACTAATGTCCGAGAAGGATGTTGTCGATAATTTGCCGGTCTCTTATAAACGAATTTGGACCCTAAGAAACAATTTGCGGGAGCAGACTGGCAAGCCGTTCAGCCATGATCTTGGTTATTACTTTAGAAACAAACTGACATAGGCTGATCGAACGCAACTGGCGAATTGTTTCCACAGAATCCACCTTAGGAATCAAAGTGAGTCAGGTATGGTTAAAACTCCATAGCATGCGGCTCGTTGTAAAGAACGAACATACTGCTTCAATCACCGAAGTGCTCACAATATCCTATAATGATTTGAAGAACTTTACGGTAAAGCCATCAGACCCCGGAGCTTGCTTCGACCCCATTGAAAAGATCGTTCTCTGAACATCATCAGGCAATACCTCAGCTGTCAACAACGCATTCATCTGCGGAGTAACCCTCTGGGAAATGGGGAGATTCGCCACACTCTCAATCATATTAGGAACCTGGGACTCTGAAGCAAACAGAGTTTGGTAAAAGTTGGTAGCAATAGTAGCCTTCCCATTTTCCTCAGTAACCCATTCGCCCTCATCATTCCGAAGCCCAGAAACAAAATTTCCTTTTCCTCGCGAACGAGTGACCGTATGGAAATAAGCAGAATTCTTATCCCCTTTTTTTAACCATCGGACTCTGGACTTTTGTTTCCAGTATATCTCCTCCGCTTCCCAATGACGAGTCAGCTCCGTTTCCAGGGTCCTGGTCCTATCCCAATCCACCAGATGGATTGACTTGATCCGGTCAATCTCTGCCTGGAGCGTCTTGATGTTCCGCAAAGAATTTTTTGTGCCCGCCCTGCTCCAGTCATGAAGCAGGTGACAAAGTTTCTTGAGGCGCTCCCATAGTCGAAACATAGGGGTATGTTGGATCGCCTCCTGTCAGACATAGTGGACCATAGCCTAACCTCTAGGTTATCCGCCCAGCGGGCATCAAACCGGAATAGAGGCCGACTATTCCGAGCATACAGTTTATCAGCGAGAAGAAGGGAACGATGATCCGAACCCTTATCGGTAAAGTGTTTGACCAGAGTCTCCGGATAAGTATCAATCCATGATTGGGAGCAAAGCGCCCTATCCAGACGTTCATGAATGCAAGCTGTACCCATACGCTTATTGGTCCAAGTGAACTGATCTCCTTGGTAGCTTGGGTCATGGAGTCCCAAATCATGAACAAAATCCCGAAGACTAATGGCTTTCGCAGCATTCCATGCCCTACCCCCATCCTTTTCTCCCTCATGGAGGGTAGTGTTGAAATCACCTATGATCACATAAGGGTGAGGAATAGTCGCGCAAACTTCGCGCATATGAGCCAGTTCATTGGCCCAAACATCAACATTACAACTAATGTAGACAAAGATCACCACATAAGAAAAATCTCCTTCATTAATTTGCGAACAAATATAGAAATTGGAATGACAAAACACCAAAGTGTCAACCCAGGGGGACCAAGCGACTAATAAACCTCCCGATGCATTGAATGCATATACAAAAATATAATGAGAAATAGGAAAACCTAAACCCCGCATACGATGGGATATTACATGCCAGCTCGATCGTGTTTCCGAAAAAAATACGAGATCCAGTTTATTATAATGAACAAGCCCTACAGCAGTTTGGAAAGTGAGGGATGGCCCAGTTCCTCTCACATTCCAAGCCAGAATCCTCATTTATTGGCTGGGGGCCACTCGAGGCTGGCTTCCTCCACCTTTTCCAGGATATACACTGATTGTATTTCCACAAATTGCTTCTTCGGGGTAGGGGGATCACCCACATCCCCATCTAACTCCTCAAGTCTCCGCTTCCGATTCTCCATATTTAGGTCCATCAAATTTGACCCATACTCATTGAGGTTTGAGCGAGGCCCCTTGCAGGATACGCCCTCCTCCCGAGCACCGACTAGCCTTGCTTCATAAGCCTCCACCACTTGGTGAACTCGCCCAGTCAAGACTTGACGAGTCTCAACTGAGATGCCAGCTGGTGACCGCCGCTTGATCTAAAACAGGTGGTGATCCTCAGTCGATTGATGACCATCCGATGCTGTGGCATGCTGATGATCCTCATAAATAGGACCATCCCTGGAAGCCCCAGTCTCTATATCCTCCAACTCACGCGGAGCATCAGGAGGAGTAGCTCCCCCAACCTGGTTGGCTATAATCACTGAGCAGCCAGCTCTACTTTTCCTCATAAGCGGGCGAACTCGATGCGCCAAAATCCCAGTATGGGTTGCAACTTTGGAGGGCAATGGATGGTCCTCCTGGGGCTGGCGGGGGGGGGGGGGGGGGGCTTATCAGAAGGACCAGAAGTTGCACGAGTCTGCTTTAATGGTATGGTCTTCTCACCCGCAGTCTCTTCCTCCTCCTCACACTCCTTCTGTAGAATCATCCTTCATCGTCGGGACTGCTCTAGAGCCGTCTCTACCTGGTCCTCCACCTACTGGCGATGGGGTGCCTTCCTGCCGCGTTTGCCTGCCGGCTGACGACCCTTTGTCCCTTGCCGAGGAAGAAAGGCAACATTTTTTGGTGATATTTTTTTCTGGTATGGCCGACCACCACAACCAATCTTCACTCGAGGCGATGTCTTGAAGACAACCCTCTTAGGGCTAGCACGGTTTCTCACCGGTTTGGGCTTGAGCTCCTGCAACCTAGGTTGTAGCTCTTTGTCAGCATGATTCTCCGGCTCCCCTATCAGAGAATGAAGTGTGCCCTGATCAATTGAGCGATCAAGAGGCACTGGCCGTGGTTCCATCTCTCGAGGTCTGGCATTCTGCGAACTCCCATTCTTGTGCAAGTAAGCATTCCTGTTCACCCACACCGATTTGTTGGTGGTGCGAAACTTAGGGTGATCCTCCTTGTCCATGTAGACCTTCCTTCCTTCCTGTTTTTCTTTTATACATATGCAGACCGAACCTTTCTTTTCCTGGCGGTGGAGCATACACATATTCTCGCTTCGAGTACCCCACGCGGCCACAATGGTAGCAGAAGGTTGGTAAGAATTCATACTTGAGGTTGACCCAGAAGCTGCCAATCTCTTCACTAACCGCCATGAATTGAGACCGCAAAGGTTTGGTAAAGTCAATGAGAGCATGGACTTTCACAAAGCACTCATCAGTGTCTTTGTACGCAAAGACATCAGCCTCTAAGACTTGACCAATAATCCCAACTGTCACCTTCCGGCCAAACTGTTTCGTGCAACAATCTTCTTTCACATTCCAAAGCTGAACACGAAAGGGAGCAATGGCCAAATCATCAAAAATCGGCAATGTGATAGAGGGTGTCCAGGATGGGAGGTGGAGAACCCTATCCTTAACAATCCATGGAGATCTTTTTAGCAGCCAAACCCTCATCTCTTCACTAGGAAGAACAATTTCAAATAGGCCCATCTTAGTGGCCGAAACCGTAAGGTTTCCTTGCACCTGCCATGCCTCAAGCAAGCCTTCCCTCAACTCACTAGGAGTGAATGTGGTTTCCGAGAATAATCTCCCCAGCAGAGTCCTCGAAGTTCGAAATTTCACCGATTGGACTTCGTCGAGCGAAAATTCAACCACTTGACCTCCGCTATACGCGCCATTGCATCCACCTGACACACAGGGATAGACAAATTATTAGAAATAATGGGGTTAGCCCCAACCTGCCCAATTAATAGACACATCGGTAGAGAATTTTGTGGGCTGGGCATAAACAGACATGACGGAATAAACATTGCGGGATGTCCACAAGCAATTCAGTTAATATAATATTGGGCCCTCACTGGCAGCCTCCAATGTCGGCAGCAAAAAGCCCAATTTCCGCAATCTGTCCCCGGTCGGCGCGTTGGTCAGCACAGCAAGAGGCAGCGAACTGCACGAAGCTGCGGGGGTTACCCCCGAGACCGGGGCTGGCACCGTAGGCGGCAGCGAGCCACGCGGTCTTGAGAGAGCTACTGGCGAAACAGGGGTTGATAACTCTCTCAAATGAAAGCAAGAAGGATAGGGTTGTGAGAATAGCCCCGTACCTCGCTGATGACTCGGATCGCACCCCAGCTGCTGGGGGGGAGTTCCTCTCCTTGCTTCTCCAGAAAATCCAAGGCACCGAGAGTTACACTGAAGGTTTGCAGCTGGGGGCGAGGGAAATTTATAGGGGATAGAGTCTGAGTTCACCAGGGAGAGGGAAACACCCCTGGTCCATCTTTTTTTTAGAGGAGTAATTGGATTAGGAGACCGACGTTGGGGATTCGGTTATTTTCCCAGAATCGGATCAGACGCCCGGTAATCGAGCCCAACAGAACCGAAAAATCTCCAGAAAATCCTTCATTGCCCACCCCACACAACTGCTTCCCCAACCACCAAAGCTGAACGTCGATGCCGCCACTTCGGCCGATCAACTCCGCACCGGTGACATTGGGGATGGGATTTGTAAAAAATTCCGCCGCTTTAGCACTGCCTTGCAGTACGCCGCAGTATTCCTCATCGGGGGGATCATCTTGACCATCAAATTCACAACGATTTTCGTGTTTGCTAAGACATTTAGATTCAACAAATGAACAGGGTACTCTATTCTCGTTTTCCGCTTGCTCTGACGGCTCAGGAATAGTCCCCACCCCTAAGGGTATAGTAGGGTTCCATCGTTTAATTGGTATCAGATCTACAATTGGATGGCGTGAGGGCTTAGTTTTGTTCCCTCGCGAACGAGGGCGAGACATAATCTTCATCTTCCAGTTCGGACGAATCTGGAAGCTAGAATCGCCATTGATACCGTGATCGGATCCAACATCTTTTGGTTGGACGTCCTGCTTTAGTTAGAACCTCGGCAAAAGCCATTTGAAACGATCGCTTGGCTTTGTAAATGACAACGGCGGCCCGCGATAGCCACCGCCCAATCACCGAACATAGCAGAAGGAGAGAGGAGAGAACTCCTCCTATTTTTTGTAGTTTCGATCCGTGCTCCCCACACCAAACACATCTTGAACTCCTCAATTACCATAAACTTGACAGTCAGACGCTCGCTAGAAAATTATCCGAATAAATTGATAGAGCGTGGTTAGAACTGCTTAACTCAAATGTAGTCTTAAATTAATAATAACATTAAATTAATCATGAAATATTTTATAATAATTATTAACGATTACTCTGCATATAATTTAAATTGATGCTTTCTAGCTAAAACAGATAGGATCAAAATATGGGGTAATTAGTATAAACGGTCACAAACCTTTGCACTTAGTATAAAATGGTCACAAATTTTTAATTTGTAACGATTCGATAACAAAATTCTGTATTTAAAACAATACGGTTACAAGTTAAACAAAGAGACCATTTTATACACGTTCAAACTTTTGTTACTGTGTCATTACAAATTAAACTTTGGCAAAATACACTCTCATAGCCACAACTTTCCACTTTGTGGCAACAATAGCCAAATTTTGAAAAATACCGAGAAATAGCCGCGTTTTTTAAACTTATTTGCACAATCTAGCCATTACCGTTAAATTATTTAACGCCTTTAACCTCTCCGTCAGTTAAGTGGATGGTATGCTTACGTGGCCGCCACATGTCCTACACCTATTTGCCACGTAGGCGAACTATTGCCACCTAATTAACACGTCACTATCTAAAATTAAAAAAAAAACATTTTCCCTATAAAAATCCCTAACCTCCCCCTGCCCTGCTGCGAACCCCTTTTCTAATTTCCCCTCTTCTCGCTAGGTTTCCGACGCCGCCGCTGCTCCGCGATTTATCTTCCCCCGACGACGCCTTCTCCCTCCGACGACGCCCCTATTCCTTGACCTCTCCCCCGACGAAGCCTTCTCCCTCGACCTCTCCCCCGACGACGCCTTCTCCCTCGACTTCTCTCCCCCCGACGACCCTCTTCCTTGACCTCTCCCCCGACTTCTCTCCCCCCGACGCCTTCTCCTTCATCCCCAATCGCAGAACTTGAGGAAGAAACCCAAAACTCCAATCGAAAATCTGCGACAATAGAAAGCGAAATAGACAGAGGTTTACCTTCTTCCCCAATCTGTTGAGCATTCCTGCTACTCAATCCTTCTTTTCTTCTCATCGCAAAATCAAGCAACGGTGGCCACGGGCCTTCATCAATGGTCCCCTATAGAGAAGCAACCTGGGTTTGTTGATGGTACCGGGAGAGAAACAAGCTGGAGCTGGAGACTCTGTTAGAGAGAAGCAACCTGGGTTTGTCGACGGCGGCGACTCCCTGGTTAGAGAGGCGGCGAAGCATGACTAGATCTAGTTGGCGCGGATGAAGGAGAGGAGCTGGAGGTGAAATGCGCGAATGGACAACGTCATTTTCATGGGAAGAGAGTTGAACGGAGTTGGGGATTTCGATGGGCAGTTCTCAATTCTGTGAACCTTAGGGATTCTCCGACAAAAATAAGGTCGATCAAAATTGGGGATTTTGAGGGCGGGGTCGAAATTGGCCAGGGAAGTAGTTGAACGAGATGAGTCAGGATCTGGATCTTCAATTGGTGGTGGCTTGGGGTTTGGGCGGAGAAAAGAAAGTTATGGGATATTGTAGCTCTGTTGCTTGACGGTGGAAGGGATCTGGGGAGAGAGGAAGATGAAGATGTTAGGTGGGGAGATGTTTTATTTTTTTATTTTTTTTTAGTTTTAGTCTAATTTTATTTTTTGTTTTTTAATTAATTCAAAAAGGATTTTTTTCCACCTAGAATTTTTTTTGTGAAAACATGCCACGTCAGCTAAATCTGTTAGTCCAGTCAGCATTCACATATAATCCGTTAAAGTTTTGGACGGATTGGCTATTTCTCTGTATTTTTCAAAATTTGGCTATTGTTGGCACAAAGTGGAAAGTTGTGGCTATGAGAGTGTATTTTGCCTTAAAACTTTTTGTGCCAGTTTTGTACGAAGTTCAAAGGTTTGAACAATCAATCACTGTTACAATTCGCTCCAGTTGAGGTACGGTGGCTTTGTTAATTTATTGAATGATATGATTCTAATAAACGATAACATTGAGGGAATTCAATGCCACACGATTTCATTGCAGTCTGGGTTAACCCTCAATCGAGTGCTCCACTTGCCAGAGTTTTGTTGTAACCTGGTATCGGTAAGTCGACAGACGAAAGAAAAATAATGTGGCATTAATCTTTCTTGGTTATTTCTGCGTCATTCGGGACTTACTCTCCAAGAAATAGATGGGGAAGGGTGAGCTTCGAGATGGTCTTTACTACTTGCGGTTGTTTGGAACTAGACGTGCTCAAACTTTTGCGGCAAGTCAGAAGGTGTATGAGGAAATTTGGCATGCACGTTTGGGCCATTCATCGAGTGCACTCATGGGATTTCTCAATCGACAGCTTTCCTTTATTTCTTCATCTAATAAAGATCTTTGTCATACTTGTTGTGCAACCAAGTAGTCTCGTACTCCTTTTTAGTCCAGTATGATCAAAACTGCCTCTTGTTTTGAGTTGATTCATATTGACATTTGGAACGGATACAGAGTTGCATCTACTAGTGGCGCTCATTATTTTCTGACAGTGGTTGATGATTATAGTTGAGGAGTTTGGGTCTATCTTTTGCGTTATAAATTCGATGTTAGTAGTTACTTGATTGCTTTTGCTGATATGGTGAAAACTCGGCTTAGAGCAAAGGTTAAGAGGATTCATGTAGATAACGACCATGAATTTGGCACGGATTTTCTACGACGCTATTATGAGGAAGAAGGTATTATATTGCAGACCTCTTGTGCAGACACACCTAAGCAAAATTGTGTCATTGAACGCAAACATCGCCATATTCTGGACACTGCTAGAGCCTCGCGATTCCAAGCAAGTCTTCATATCCGCTTTTGGGGCGAATGCATACTCACTACGACTTATCTCATCAACCGTCTTCCCACGATGGCAACAACAAAGACTCCCTATGAGGTTCTTTTCGGCAAGACAACAAGGTACGATCACCTGCATGTGTTCGGGTGTCTAGTATATTTCAAAGATACACATGCCGACCTAGAAAAATTTGTTCAACGAGGATGTACTGGTGTTTTTATGGGTTACGCTACCACTCAAAAGGGGCATCAGATTTATGATCTAACGGCCAAGAAGATCATTTCTCAAGTCCATTTTACCTTTTCAACAGGATCATGGCAGCCACCTCATTGGACACTACGACTTGTTTTGGGTTCCCCCATGGACGATGATGATACTACCTCCCTTTTCGAGCATGCTATGACTACTCCTGTGCATGCATGAACGTCGAAGGATAATCCCCATGGCTCCAGTTCCACCATGATGGCAACGCATGCAAGATCATATTGCCATGATCCTTACGCCTCCTCCAAACACGCCCTCTGCTGCTAATCCAACTATCCCTAGTCGCAGTACCCAGCCGGATGTCCCTCCTAAGCATATGGAGATCTACGATACTCGCACCTCCCTCCGTCCACTTGCCCAGGGAAGTCAAGCTCATCTCTCTAGTATCAAATATCCTTTATATGATGCACTTATGACGTTGCCACTCCTAAGTTTCTTGCTTTCCTTGCATCGGCCACCTCCCATGACGAACCCCACAATTTTCATGAGGCTCTCAAGGATCCGCATTGGACGACAACATGATTCAAGAGAATGTTGCCCTTGAACGTAATGGCACATAGAGACTTGTCTACCTACCTCCAGGAAAACGAGCTATTGCGGCAAAGTGGGTGTTCAAAATCAAGTTCTATCCCGATGGTACGATTGAGCAATACAAAGTGTATTTGGTTGCCAAGGGCTATACACAGATCAATGGTCTCTAATTCCATGATACCTTTGCTCTGGTAGCCTAGTTAGTCACTGTTTGCTTCCTCGTCATTATTGCCGTCAGTAGAGGTTGGCATATTCATCAGCTGGACGTCAACAATCCCTTCCTCCATGGTGACTTGGACGAAGAAGTTTACATGGAAGTGCCAAAGGGTTTCGCATCTCCAGGTGACACCCGTGTTTGCCGCCTACACAAGTCCATCTACGGTCTTTAACAGGCCTCGCACAATTGGTATAATAAATTCAGTGAGGCGCTTGTTTCCTTTGGTTTTCGTTCCTCACCGACAAATCATTCTTTATTTATCTAACAGCGGGGGAGTACCTTTGTTGCCGCCTTGGCTTACATCGATGATGTGCTTCTTACTGGCACCTGTTTGGCGTTTATGACTCATGTGAAAACCGTCCTGGATCAGAAGTTCACCATCAAAGACCTTAGGCCCCTTTGTTACTTTCTTAGTATTGAGGTCACTCGCACGGTCGACGTTGTTGTCCTGAATCAGCGGGAATACACCCTAGACATTCTTAAAGATGAGGGTGTTCAAGCTACTCGTCCCAACACTTTTTTCATCGAGTAGAACCATCAGCTCACTCGTGGTTCAAATCCTGTCCTTGTCGATCCTTCTCCT